TTTACCCGAAGTGTAGGGAGGCTAAAAACTAAGTGCAACTAGAGACTGGAAAAGGTACAGGAGGCATAGTGGACCCAGGAAAACAAGGAGATTAGTAGAAAGCCAGAAACGAGTATGCACAGATAAGGAGGGAAAGGACCCGCGACAGTAATGAAAAACACATAAGGATCGAAAGTCAAATCTGACCCAAACTGCTGTATAGCAGGCCACACCATCTAAAGGGGACAAAAAAGATACAAAACACCAGGCCATGGAAAACCTGGTTAGCCACAGCCTACTCAAAGGAGAGGATTTTTTAGTTGCCAGAAGGAAAAAACACTTGGCATACATCAGGCAGAAATCGTACACCCAAAATCCAGTCATGTCCAGGGGAGTGAACAAACAGTCGATGCCTCCACTCCCAAACCACAATACAGATACTAATGCCTGTGAACAAAAAAGATCCCCCCCAGTAGCCTAACAATACCACCATCCGATGAACATTCTTTCTTGCAAATATAGAGGGTCCTAAAGCAGCAAACAAACAACAAAAATACCTTTTCATCCGTGGACACTCTTCAGGTCACTTGTTCTAATCACTTGTTCTATCTAGGCTGGAATATTCTGGCACACCTAACAGCACATTTCAAAGGCAGGTGAAATTGCCGACCTAGAAAATGTACAGAGAAAGCTTTCACGGTCGCGCATAACATAGATAAAACACCTGAATTACTGGGAGCGCTTGAGGTCCTAAACCTGTATTCCCTGGAACGCAGGAGGGAGAGATACATGATTATATACCACCTGAAAATCCTAGAGGGACTAGTACCGAACTTGCACACGCAAAATCACTCATTACGAAAGCAATAAGACTTGCAGACGATGCACCATCCCCCAATGAAAAGCAGGGGTGTCACTAGCACGTTAAAGAGCACCATACAATAAGTGTCAGGGGCCCGAGACTGTTCAACTGCCTCCCCAGCCGCACATAAGGGGGGATTACAACAGCACCCCCTGGCAGTGCTTCATCTTGCACGAGAGGACAAGCCCCTAAAGTCAGTTCCTGATCAGCCGGTCTGTGTGGCTCGTACGTTTGGTTGCGTGCAGCCAGCAGCAACAGCCGGTTGATCAGCTCTGATCCCACCAGGGAGGCCTGGTCACAGACCTGGCCCCTGGGCCGTTTGACCCCGTAACTCTTCTCCATGTAAACTCCAGGTAGCCACAATTAGGAGGAAGAACAACAGTCCAAGGACCAGGTGATAATGGCTGAGGAAAGAAGGTGGCGAGACAACTCACACGAAACGATCAAGAGGTATGTGAGGAGCTCAACACGAGATTTAAGGAAGTAATTTACAGTAGAGACAGGATATGACTCTGGGGGGGACAGACCAGATGGGACACCAGCAAGGAATACACCAACACGTTTGGACGACATACATACAGTAGAGGAGAAGGTGAAGAAACTGCTAAGGACATCGCGATACCTCAACAGGCAATGGACCGGACATCTCCCCGTGGCTCCTTAGAGAGTGAGCAGATATGTTGTGCGTTGCCACTGACACACAACTTCAACACGTCCCAGGTAAACTGGCCAACTACCTGAGATTATTGGAATGACTGCAAATGTGTTCCCCATTTTTAAAAAAAGGAGACAGAAAAGAGGCAGCATAACTATAGAGACCTGTGTCCATTGACGGTAATAGTATGCAAAGTATGGAGAAAATTATCAGAGGAAAGTGTGAGCACCTGGAACGGAAAAGAGTATAAATGCCAACCAGCAACGGATTCATGGAAGGCAAATCCTGTGTCACAAACCTTCTGGAGTTTTATGATAAAAAACAGGCAAGTTAAGACTACGAGTTATGAGCGATGGTGGTCTGATTGCATCTTTCTTGACTGGCAGAAGGCCTTTGACACAGCGTTCCTCACAAGATTATGCATGAAGTAGAAGCATCGGTGCATATAACAGTGAAGGGCACTGCAATGGATCAAGAGTACCTGACAGGGAGGCAACAGAACGAGCCATGAGGTATCATAATAGTATCACAGTGGGCACCTGGTGACAAGCGGGGTCCCACAGGGGGTCGTCCCTAGGACCAGTGCTATTTTTCGTGTATAATGTGAACGACATGAGTAGAAGGTTTAGACTCAGACAAGTGTCCCTGTTTGCAGATGATGTGAATTAATGGAGGAGAATTAAATCAGATAAGGACCAGCAGGACTTCAACAAAAGCCTGGACAGACTGGACTACCTGGTCAGCAAAATGGCTTCTCGAATTTAATCCTGCCAAATGCAAAGTCCTGAAGATAGGGAGAAGGGCACAGAAGACCACAGACAGAGTATAGGCTATGTGGGCAAAAGACTGCAAACTCACTCAAGGAGAAAGATCTTGGGGTATGAACATATAACCCGGACATGTCTCCGAAGCACACATCAATCAGATAACTGCGCAGCATTGTGGGGCCGCCTGGCAAACACCTGAGATAACAGCATTCACGAGAATACCTTAGTAAGGAATCGTTCAAGACACTGTACACCGTTGTCTGTCTGGCCCATACTGGAGTCTATGCAGCACCTGTTTGGACCCGCCAACTTGATAAAGCACTCAAGAAACTAGAGATAGTACAAAGGTTTGGCGACAAGGTTAAGTTCCAGAGCAAGGGGGGGAATTTGTTTTTCCTATGACAGAAAGATTAAGGAAATCGCCTGAACGAAACTGAGACAGGAGGGATTTGGAAGACTATGATAACGACCATCTATAAAACACTGCGTGGAATAGACAAGGTGGATAAGACAGATGTTCCCGAGGGAGGGACACAGAAACAAGAGGCCACAATTGGAAGTTGAAGATCAACAAATGAGTCCAGAGAGAGATATAGGAAGTATTTCTTCATCATAGAGTTGTAAAGGCAGTGGAATAGCCTAGGACATGACGTATGGATGCAGGAATCCATAATCCATACACAGTTTTAAGACGAGTTTGATAAAGCTCATGGAGTCGGGGAGAGAGAGGGCCCAGTAGCAACTCGTGAAGAGCCGGGGGGTCCA